AAATGACATGGGAGACATGGTTTTAAGGCCCAATTTTTCAATTTCTTGAGTTAGTAAAGCATGCGGAATGGTGGGACAAACGTTTGACAGAATTAGTCTTTCTGCTGGAGTGACTAGTTTGCGTGCTTGGACTTGTTGGTTATTAATTTCTATAAAACCTCCGTGATTATTCATAAAATGTTCAACAATGTTTTTGTTTGCTAGGTACATACACACTCTGTTGTTAGAAAGCCGTGAAGAAAATAGAATATTTAGAATAGAAATAGAATAGAATAGAAAACTTTAATTTAGTGTCTTATTTTGTAAGAAATTAGTGAACAGCTAAATTTACGTCAATGGTGTATTGAAAGCAAAGTTGAAATGTGTGGAGTAAAATTTAAAGTTCATGGAAGTAAAAAATATTTATTTATTTTAACTATATACAGACCTCCTTATAGTTCAAATTTTAATACTTTTATTACGAAGTTAGAACAATTGTTGCAGAGTATTTATAACAATAATGATTTTTACGTTATATGTAGAGATTTTAATATAAATTTTTTAGAAAATAGCAATCAGAAATATTTTTTACTAAACTTATTTTTAGAATACTAAATAGAATAGAATATTAATATTCTATACTATATAGAATAAAATACTAAATTGAATACTAATAGAACTAGAAGAACAGTTGAAGACATGGAAAAACTATATTGAAGAACTCTTTGCAGATGATAGACAACAATATGAGCTAAGTAACATACAAGGAGACGAAGGTCCAGAAATAATGGAAGAGGAAGTAATGTACGCACTAAAAAGAATGAAAAATGGTAAAGCTCCAGGTCCAGATGAAATACCAACGGAAATCCTTAAATTAATAGTAAAAGACTCGATTCACATTTTAGTTGAACTTTTCAATAGCATTTATACATCAGGAAAAATACCACAAGAATGGCTTTTATCTACCTTTGTTATTATACCAAAAAAGATAAATGCCAAACAATGTAGCGATTACCGTACAATCAGTCTGATGAGCCATGTACTGAAAATATTCCTGAAAATTATACACTCTAGAGTACACAGAAAACTAGAAATGGACATCAATAATACCCAGCTTGGATTCCGAAATGGACTCGGAACAAGAGAGGCGTTGTTTGCACTGAACGGTATGTGTCAAAGATATCTTGATATAAATCAAGATGTATTCATGTATTTCATAGATTACAACAAGGCCTTTGATAAAGTGCGGCATGATCACCTAATCAGACTCCTGACAGAAAAGAATTTAGATAAACGAGACATTCGACTAATAGCAAATATGTACTACAATCAAAAAGCAGTAGTGAGATTAGAGAATACTACCACAGAAAAAATTGAAATAAATAAATAAATAAAGCGAGGTGTGAGACAAGGGGTTATACTGTCACCAACCCTGTTTAATCTCTATTCCGAAGACGTAATGAATAGAGAACACTCTCTGAGCAATCCGTAGGTTTTAAAATAAATGGTGTTAGATTAAACAATCTGAGATTTGTTGACAACACCGTTCTGATCGCAGAAACACTTGAAGAGCTACAGACATTGGTGAATAAGATAGCAGACTGCAGCGAAGAATATGGACTATCGTTGAACATAAAGAAAACTAAATTTATGGTAATATCGAAATCAACACAAAATGTCCAAAATTTATATTTACATAATGAAATTATCGATCGAGTTAGCAAATACAAATATTTAGGCTATTTTATAAATGAAGACAACGGTAGTTTAGCAGAAATCAAAATAAGAATAGAAAAAGCCAGATATATATTCACTAAAATGAAGAGAGTGTTCTGCGGAAGAGAGTTGAGCTTTGAAATGAAACTTCATCTGATGAGATGTTACGTACTTTCTGTGCTGTTCTACGGAATGGAGTTATGGACGTTGAAAAAGATTGATATCAAAAAATTAAAGGCATTTGAACTGTGGATGTATCGCAGAATCCTGAGAATATCATGGACCGAGAGAGTCACAAATGTCGAGGTCTTGAGAAGAATGAATAAAGAAAAGGAAGTCATATTTACGATAAAAAACGAAAACTGCAATACTTGGGACACATAACAAGAGGTGAAAGATATGAACTGCTTCCAATAATTAAGCAAGGGAAAATAACAGGAAAAAGGTCTATAGGAAGAAGACGAAACTCCTGGCTAAAGAATCTACGGGAATGGTATAGCTGTAGCAACAACGAATTGTTTCGGTCAGCAGTTTTGAAAGTACGTATAGCTCTGATGATCGCCAACCTTCGGAACGAAGATGGCACTTGAAGAAGAAGAAATTTTTAGAATACAAAATTAAATTTTACATAAATGTGCCTACTAGAATTAATAAAAATTCTTCAACGTGTAATGACAACTTTTTTTCCAATTTAGATATTCAAAAGCTGAGTGTATCTGACACATTTCTATTAAATCATGCTTATCAATTTTGTGCTTTTAATATGAAAGTTACTGAAAAAAACCCTTAAACTGTTTTTACCAGAAACTTATTCGATGCCAACTTAATAACTTTTCAAAATTACATCTAACTTGGTGTCTAGTAATTTGAAGAAAAATGTTCAATATTTTATGATACTTTCTTATATTCTTACAATACTACTTTCTTAAAACGTACAGTAACTACCAGACCAAAACAAAAAACGTAGTTTGCATCTCATATTAAGGGTTTGCTTGATCAATTGTTAATAACCCACAGTATTTGGAACGATACAAAATATTTAAACAAGAAAATCAAAAAATTGTTAAAAAACATAAAAAGGAACAATAAGATAATCAATTTAGAAATAGCAATAATGTAATGAAGGAAAGTTGTAAAATAATTAATAAAAATAGAGGTAAAAACTATCAATCAAATCAAAATTTAATATCTTTTACTAACAACGGTCACTTACAAAATTATCATAAAGCTGATCAAATCAACAACTATTTTATTAATGCTGTAAAAAATAATGAACTTCCAGTTGGTAACTGTACCATACCAATTAACCAATTCAATTTAAGTGTCTTTTTATCACCAACCACTGAAAAAGAAGTTATATCTACTGTAGTAAAAATTGCTTCTAAAACAGCTCCAGGAGTAGACGAAATTTATGGAAAAGCTTTGAAACATATTGCCACTTATATAGCTTTACCACTATCTTATCTTATAAATGAATTATTTACATGCGGAATATTTCCAGATATAAAAAAATCGAAAGGAATCCCCATTTTTAAAAATAAAGGATCTGCAACGGATATTGCAATCTATAGGCTGATTTGTGTGTCAAGTCAGGTCTCTAAAATATTTGAAGCAGCCTATGCAAATAGATTAACAGATTATTTAGAACATTTTAAAATTCTTCCTGTTGAATGGAAATGAAATCTACAAATACTGCTATTTCTGACTGTCTTAAATTTATTTATAAAGCATTAAATGAGAAATTAAATGTGTTGGGTCTATTTTATGACCTTAGTCGTGCATTTGATACAGTAATTGCCGGATATTGGAGTACGTAATATACCACACAATTGGGCCCTATCTTATCTAAGTAATAGAAGTCAAGTAGTCACAGTGGAAAATGTAACGTCCAGGCCACTTCAATGTACGATGGGTGTACCTCAAAGCTCAATACTGGGGCCTTTATTTTTTATTATATTTGTAAGTGACCTAAACACGTTTTGTTCAATACCAGATAAAATTGTCCAATATGCTGATGAAACCAATATTCTCATCTCTCACAGTGAACCCATACAACTGGTGGAAAATACCAATGTTGCGTCTGCTGAATTAAGCACATATTATGACACATTTTAGGCATTTCTTACCAAAAATCTTAACTCCAAATCTTGACTTTGACTGACATGCAGATGGCAAATCAGTAAAAAATTATACTACAACGAAAATTTTGGGGTAACCCTAAATCATAAACTTACATGGGAAACCCACGTAAATCATGTATTAGCAAAGCTAAGTAAATGTAGCTATATAATGCGTAATTTAAGAGAAACTGTCTAATTTGATATATTGCCAATGATTTACTTTAGTTTAGTCCAGTCTGTACTTCAGTGTGGCTTAATATTTTGGGGTTACTCATCTCATTTTGAACGGGCATTTATAGCTCAGAAGAAAGTTTTAAGAAGTATATATGGTGTATCATTTTCAGATAGTTGCGAGCCACTATTTAAGAAGTCTAATATTTTAACACTACCTAGCCTTTTAATTTTCCAATTGATATTGCACATAGAGAAAAACAAGCTCAAGTTTGACATAAATGAGGACATTCACTCACATGATACTAGGGGTAAATCAAATTTTTGACAACCTTTCTCTAGATTTGGTCTATTCCAACATGCACCTGAATATATTGGAATAAAATGTTACAATAAAATTGTCAATAAATTAACTCTCAGTAATTCTTTACATAAAGGTTTTGCCAAACTGTGTATTTATTTTTAATGGACAACACATTCTACAGTGTTAATGGATTTTTAAATTTTTATCATTTTTGCAACAATAGTTCTAAATTTGTATTTGTAACTTTAAGAAATAAATAAGAAAATAAATAAGAAATAATTTATTTTATTGTAATCACTGTTTTATTTTATTCACGTGTATTTTTACTGTATATTGTACTCTTTTGTACTAAAATTTTGACTAGTCCGATAAAATTTATACATTTTTTTTGGTAAGAATTGTGTAAACTTTGTAAATGAATAAATTTTATTTATCTATCTTTTTATATATCTATCTAAATATTTAAACTACGAGAAAACGAATATATTTAGTCTTTTAGGGAATAAAATCACTAGCACATAAAAAAGAATAAAACATTAATTTAATATTTTTTAACTTTGTAAATAAATTTAATGATTTAATAGTTAATTTTGAACCAAACCCGATAAAAACAACGATAATACCTTGAAATACAATAAAAAATAATTAAATTAAACTTTAGCAATAGTTAAAGATTATATAACACATGTTACTAATATACCATTTCTTACTTTTGTATCCTAACTGCCAAACAAATATGATCCAAGCGAACGAAAAGCACCACAAAATGGGTGATACGGCAGCGTACCAAGCAGCATCCTGAGCATTGTAGACGTAATCTATGTTTCCCATAAATGATGCTCCAAAAAACGATACACAGAACGTTAGAATTGCAAGCGCATTTCCAACGTTCACCTGAGTCTAAAAAGAAAAAAATATTAATCACTACAACGATTTTAAAATATTATGTTAATCAATAAAACCTTCTACTACTGACGTGGTGCCCACAGGACCCTCGACTAAATTCAAATAACGCGCATTTTTTTTGTTGTTATAGCTCTGTGAAATTGTGAGTTCATCCAAAATAGTACACTACGATTATAAAAACTGCGAAGAAACTCTGTAAGCATGGTATCACAAGATAGAAGGTGAGGTCAGCGATGTGGAAGAATCAGGTGGCCATTTAAATTACATTGAAAGTGAGCGTGATACAGATTCGGTATTAGAAGATGATATTGACGAAGCTAGTGGTAATTTTCCTAACTAATTTGATTCTTAAAGTCGCGAAGAAGTTAAAAATGGAAGGAATGAGTGAATAACAGTTAAAATAAACATAGAAAGTAGCAGAGTAGCCTTTTTTGATGGCATACATGTATAATACCTTCTTAAATAAAAAATAGTTCTTACCTTATTTAGAGTTAGGTTCGAAGAATTCCTTAATATGTAACCTAAGAAAATACCCATAATATAAACCGTTGCTCTATGGGCAGGCAAGATGTACATATAATCAGCTGTGTCAAACAGTTGTTGTACACTGTAAAAACAAAAAATGCTATCAGAAATAAAATAAAAGCTATCAAAAAAAATTATAAAATTAATACTGATTTTTAAAGAAATTATAAAATAAATACTGGCTCTGAAAAACTATTTAAACATTTAAATTTAAAAATGAAGATTAAACTTACAATTTTTTTTTGTTTTAATGTATCGTTTATTCTGTATTATGTTTATTTATAATCCACATCGTACACAACATTAAGTAAATGTATTACTTTATATCCCGATATACATCGGGAATCGCAAGATCTACTTGCGATTCCCGATGACTACTCACTGGTCCTTACCATCCCGGCCAGTATCAAAGACGGGCCAAAGTTGGCAACCGTCTTTCGAAGGAAGTTCGGTCGAGTTGCAGAACCTCAATGCCAAGTGCCAGCTCCCGAAAAAGCCTTGAAACTTCAAGATGCATGACGTTACCTTTTCTACCTGGTAACAAAAGACACTGCCCGTGAACAACCTACCTACCGAGATGTATGTGAAACTTTACTGTAATTGAGAAAGCACGTAATTGAGTCCGACGTGCAAAAGTTACCTATGCCAAGGTTGGAGTGCCGCCAATTAGATTGGAGGGTTATACGAAACATGGTGAAGGAGATCTTTAAAGACACCGAAGTCCAGGTGTTAGTCTGTTGCAATCAGCATTGTTACTGGTGCGGAGCGAAAACCGTCCCTTGACATTTTTATACAACTGGAAGTTGTTAAAGATGGTCCAGTTGCCGATACCAGTATACCATTCCAGTTCCAGTCTCGACAAGGTTCCAGGAGGAATCATGTTTTAAGAGGGGGCATTATTACGATAAATGTAACTCATACCCTAAGCTGTAAACATATTTTTCTAACAAGTATTTTTAGAATCCATAGCAGGTAATACCCACGGGTCCGCTCTTATACCTACAATTGGAACTTTCCAGATGAGGGTCGAATAATTCGTTGGCGTTCCGACAGAAGATAAAAAAAGCATGCAGAAACTTCTAAAGAAACAAATCAGGTATAAAACGGACGATTTGAGATTTAAAAGGACAGTCTGAAACAAGTGTCGATTAATAAATTGTTCGCGCGGCTATTTAAATTGTATTTTAATTCTATGTAGATTAAATAAAGAAATGTACGTAAATAAACTTGTAAAATGTTGTAAAGTGTAGAACATATGATAATAAACAAAGTCAATAAATTAGCTTCATGAAAACAGTTCAATACTTACGAAGTTCCAAAATGAACATAATTTGAAAGCTTTCTTGTGTAGGAAACAGTGTAGCGCATTACGGTAGATACCAAAGCAATCGTCAATAACGCCGCAGTTCCTTTTCTTGGCCATTTCCATATTAGGTAGATAAGAAACGGAGAGGCAAAAAATAGCTGAGTGTCAATTCCTAGGTGATGTGTATGAGTGAGGCACTAAAAAATAATATAAAAAAAATATTCTAAAGTATACAGAAATGTTTAACATGAGTCTTTATACCGATTTGTTTCTCAAAAATAAGAACTATATAAATAACAAATTTGTAATATCAGATTATCGCGAAATAAAAAAAAATGTTGCAATAATAGTGTACTGGCTAGATCAGTGAATATGATGCTATTCGGATGTCAATTGCCAGAAGGTCAGTAAATCTTTTTAGTCAACAACGAAAAGATATAGTGTAATGCGGTAAAATGTTTTTTGTTGGACAAGTATGTTATAATGTGGGTGGATATCTCTTTAAAAAATAGGCTACTTTTCAGGATACACAATGTAGGTAAATCTTTATAAAATTGGTGACAAATAACTGGTATCAAGGGCGGCAGTGACAATAAGTCGTTTTATTTCTCGGTAGAAATTGGCAATGGCTGATTAGAAATTGCAGGTATTGTATAAGGGCTCGCAACAGATCCCCTGCGTTTTGATTTAATAATTTAAACGGCACATCTTTATTTAAGCAATTTTTGAATAAGATAACACCAAAATCTTTTTCGTACCTTAAGCACTTTGTCTGTAGCAATTTAAACTGTTAATTATTTACATTTTTATGTCTTAAAATACAAACAATAAATTTACTGTTTGTATTTTGAGAGCGATTTCCGAAGTGGAAATTGAAACGTCAATAAACGTATTTTTATCTTTAATTATGGCTTATTCCCAGTTAAATAGTAATTAATTAAAAATGCCACAAGAAAATAGCTTTAGAATAATAATGAACCCTTGAAAATAGTCGACAAAATTAAATATCTTAGATGCAGCCTAAATAAGGAATGGGACCACTCACAGGAAATAAGATGTCGTACAGAAAAGACGAGAGATGTCTTCAATTACTTTATAAAAATTGATATAAACCTAAATGATGATCACCTAAACATTTATATAAAAACACGAGTCTTAAGATGCTATGTATTTTCCACTCTTTTATATGGAGTTGAAGCCTGGACCTTGACAGAGGCAACATTCAAACGATTAGAAGCCTTCTAAATGTGGTGCTACTGCCGCATGCTTAGAATTTCCTATATCCATCATGTTACAAACAACACCGTGATCCAACGTATGAATAAAGGTTTGGAAATTATGCGTATCGTAAAAATAAGGAAGATGACATGCTTAGGGCATGTAATACGCAATGAGAGGTATAAACTAATTTAACTAATTTTACATTTTATAAGGAAAGTTAGAAGGCAAAAGATCTCAAGGGCGCAGAAGGACATCGTGGTTGAAGAACATCAGACAGTGGACAGCAATGACTACCATACATCTATTTAGAGCAGTTTTCAACAAAGTTGTATGAACCAACGTGATTGCCAACATGCACGGAGAATAGGCGCCAAAAGAAGAAGAATAAACGTGGCCTAGTGCTAGGTGGTGCTAACTGTAACGGATCTAATCGCCTACAAAACAGGTCGCTAATACTGATCCGCTAATGCTGACTGGGTGTACTTAAAGATATCGTAATTTTTAGATCAGTTTATGGGCGCCGAGAACCTCCCCATTTTCGAGACCGAAAATGATGCTTTCAAAAATTTGCAGTGACATGAGTATTTTCGGCTTCGCTAAAGATAAGAATCGCAATTAGGGGTAAGCAACCTAATAACATTTACTAACTACAACAACGTTAAATTCTACTTACCATATCTTTAAATCCAAAATAATTGTGAATAAAAAGTAAATTCCTCCACCAATGCTGCTTACAGATATCCGAATGATGTGTGACTACTAAATTCCACATTGGTCCTGAATCCAGATGAGGTAAAATAAAAGTACAAAAGGCTATTAGAGCTGCAAATGTTGGTACTATTCTAATTAGTCTCGTGATGTACTCTTCGAATATATTCAGTTTTTGTGTTTTATTTAGTTTTCCCAGTAGTGAATAAGTAGTCAGCATTCCCGATATCATAATAAATGGATCTGTGTACAGACTGGCAGCTCTTCCAACCACAGAGAATGGTCTACCAATAAACTAAAAAAAGAATATAATTATAAACTATAGGAAACATGTTTTTATATTTAATTATATTATTTCGCGAAATTTACATCTGATAAGAAAACTAAAAAACACCTATTGATAGATGGCGCTATAATAAAAAAATTGATTTATTATGATACACTAGTAAACTTATAAAAACGGTCTTAAATGAAAAACCAAAAAACCCGTGTTTGTGATTTTCCAAAAATCTATCGAATGCCACCAAACACCACCCAACTCCTAAACCCTGGGGGTGGAGCCGAACTTTAAAATCTTAAATGGAAAACCCCATTTTTATTGCAGATTTGGGTTTTGAGTGAAAAGGTAAACAAGTGTTATCTGGCTTTTGTTTGTATTCGCGATAGATGGCGCTGTAATTGCAGAAAAATAAATAATATGGATCAAAAGTCTTGAAAATTAATTGTTATGGTGGTCAATATAGTTTTTTTCGATGTTTTTGAAACATTCAATTAACATAACGTATATTAACGTTTTTCTTAGAGCTTGTGATTTCATCTACCTATTATCTTGTGCAAGAGGTTTTATATTATCAAAATTAGTGCTATTCGCATTAGAAAATCATATAATCCACGAGCTTTTCTACTAAGAGTTTTTGTATTTTATATAGGACAATAATCTATAGTTCAGCAGCGTTCCTGTCTTGACCCACGATTAGTTTATCGTGGTTTATCGAGATGTATTTGCTATAAAATATTATTTTATTAAATTAAAATAATATACGACTACAATTTTCATAGAACTGTTTATTGCTTACATGTTTACAGAACTTAGTCTAGAATGCTACTTCTAAAAATACATTACAAAACGTCTAACAGAAGTTCCTAGTGGAGGGAAGGTCGTTTCTAAAAACTATAAAATTTTAACTTGAACAAACAAATAAATGACACAAATTCGTTTACTATTGTCCTTCTCAAAAATACATAAATACGGAGCGGGCACGATAACAATGAACCACTTGATTCGACTACTTAACTGTAAATGCTAAAACTACCTACTTTTTAAAGACAGGGATTATTATCTACAAATTTTTCCCAGAAATATGTAAAACTGATAAATATTATATTTATCTCAAATCCTTTATAAAAGTTATATAATAAAATGCCGAAACGGGCTATCACAAATATGTTACAAAACGTTTTCGGATTGTTAAATCCATCATCATTTTGATCAGTTGTTATTAACAGGTCCTCGAAGACACTTCGTCTCAGGACCATTTTACCTATGTAGGGTCATACGTTGCCATGTTACCAATTCCAACGGTAACTTAAACATCATAATTTGTAACCACATATAATGTAAAGCAACTGTAAATTAATATCATTTAAAGAGTTTTGACACATATATGTTGTTGGCTCATAGCATGTATACCTCGTTTACACTGATGATGGATTTAACAATCCGAAAACGTTTTGTAGCATATTTGTGATAGCCCGTTTGGGCATTTTATTATATACCTTTTATAAAGGATTTGAGATAAATTTTTCGTGATATATGGTATACAGCCGGCCACAGGAACTTAGTTTCCTAGTGGATTTTTGATTTTGAACATTTTAATCTTTTAATAGATTTTTGGAAGCTAATTTACTCAAACTTTAAGAATTACCGATATGAATCTAAAATAATAAAATAAAATCGACAAATAACATAAAGTAAATTATAATAAAACGGAACATGTCGCCCGACTTGAACTACTAAAGTTCAAAATAAAGTTGTCGGTTGACGTCGATAATCTAGCTGATCGGAAGTTGACACAACTTCTTCACGCAGCGTCTGTACTCTACAGTTTTGGTTTTCAAGGTTGCCACTTTGACAATGCCGTCCTCCCCAAGGTGCACCAACGTGATGCGTCCAACTGCCCATTGTAACAGTGGCAAATTGTTCTCAAAAATTAAGACCAAAACATCGACCACTATTTCATTATCAGTTGCATTAACATTATTGCTGCTGATCAATTTATGAAGATATTCCTTATACCATCATTTCCAGAAGTGCTGCTTCAACTGCTGGGCGTGCTGCCAAGTTGATAATTTATTGGCTGACATATCGAAGAAGTCAGTCTCGGGATAGCTTGTCATCAGACCACCAATTAAAAATATCCAGATGTAAGGGGAAGAAGTTCATTTGGGTTAGACGACATAGGAGAAATAGGACGAGAATTTAATATTGCTTCTATTTCAATAAGATAAGTTTAGAATTATTCATATGTTAACAAAGTATCACCTATTCACATGGCGAATTATAATGGGGCCTAGGGCACAGGGCTAAAATATCTAAAAGAGCTAACAGTGATTTTTAAATAGGACGGTGACCTATTATGAACTAATAGTTTATATCTTTTGTGTACTTACTTCAACATATGTCGTCCTGTTTGGAGCTGGTTGGAAGAAAGCTGCCATAGATTTATGAGAGGCAAGTAACAAAATTGCGTTTAAACACCGAATTCCATGTACTGCTTCTATATCACCAGCAGGTCGTTCTAAACTAAGATTTGATAAAAGGTTTTCCTTAAAAGAAAATGCCATTACCCACTTATCTAAAACCAACATACATAATATTAATAATATATTAGCTTGGTATAGTTGATTTAAAATAATTAAAACCATGCAAGGTAATATAAATAAAAAGAAATATAAGTCAAGAATGCCGTACTGAATAGAGTGGAGAAACTCATAAATCTCGACGGTAATATCAAAGAGAATACAGGGGTAGGACACAGCCATAGAAATGAGAAGTCGAATCTAACGAGCCCAAACTCCATTTTTAAAAATAGGAAACGAACTTTGCAACAGTGATCTTAGTTTTGACTTTTGCGTTATAATGACACATTGCTATATCCTTCCTCTATGGAGTAGAAGCGTGGACTTTAATTGACGCCATGATTCAATGCTTGGAAGCCTTGGAAATTTTGGTAAACAAATGATTACTAATGATAAGTTGAGTCGACAGAGTTACAAATGAGGAGGTCGGATGAACGAAACAACATAACTGATCAATGTATTAGAATGACTCAAGCTAGAATACTTTGATCATACTATAGGACACGCTAAAAAATTTAAACGAGTAAACGTGATCTTAGTAGAAGAAGAACATCATGACTTAAAAACCTATGAAAATGATGCTTAAAATCGACTACCTCATTATTTAGAGTTGCTATTAATAAATTTACGATTGCGAATATGATAGCCAACATGGTATTCACCAATCGATAACAATCATGGAGCTAGAAGAAGATGCAAAAGGGAATGTATACCGCTAAGATAATCAGATATATTGCTTAGACCATTGATTATATAGGTTTTAAAATAACAATAACATAAGAAAACTTATCGTAACTCTGGTAAAAAAATGGGTAGCATATCAAACAAACCTAGAATATTTTTAGGTAATGTTATAGAAAAGATAGGGCACACATTGGACCTGGAGATGGCCGCCGAATAATTTCAAAAGGTTGTAATGTCAGCGTTTAAAGATAATCATGCGAATATTGAATATAGTTAACAATTGAGGGGATCAAAAAAAGAATTGTGGAGAGGGAATGGCAAGTAAAACTCACTGCAGATATATTAAGGCCTCATAAAGGTCACCTAAAGAACCCTCAGATATGCATTACCTTGCCCAAAAGGAGTAATGTAATTACACTAAGAATAGTGAAGAGATACTGAAATAACCTTTCAAGCTGCATTGAATTCAAAACAAACCTGATACCGCTACACACAAAAGTGTTGCTTCCAAAACAGCCTATTTAAAATATACTAATGACCAAAATACCATGGTGTTATTGTTTATAACTACATTAAGTTATCAATTATAAAAGTAAAATTAAAAGTAAAAGAGATAGAGCAAGAAGGCGAATTTCTTGGTAGCGAAATCTGAGAGAAGAAGAATATAATTGCAACATTTAATCTTCAGGATTAATTTGATAAATAAAATCTTTTTTACATACTTTTTTCTCCTATTGCTAAGATATCGTATAGAGTTGCACAAAACTCCCACAATATTACTGCACCAAGAATATACCTAAAATATAAAACATTTTATTAATAAGTACAACAATTTATTATTAATGTGATTAGGTAAAAGATAATAAGTTCTCTTGTGAAGATTATCTTCTTAATTTAGTAAACAAAAACAGAACAGAGAGTAAAGAACGAATTAATCAATGCCGTTTAAAAATTAAATCAACCGTCATATTCAAAGATGTTACTAATATTAGTATAGCTAAATAAACAAGCAACAACATGAATAGCAAACAACTATTTTTATAAATCAAAGACCCAGTACCAACACAGTGGCTAAAACAACGCATCACACAACATAAAAGTGATTGCAGCTTGGAAAAAGATACTTATGCAGTAGTTGAGCACTATGAAAACACCGGTCATATTATTATGCTAGCCTATAACAAGGCTCGTATTTTGGCACAGACAAATAACTGTTGTTCAGTTACCAGCTGTTCTCCGTGTGAAGAGGTTTACTCTCCGGCTCTGGAACTCACTTCAGCCATGTATGTTACCTCTAGTCAAATTTAATTTAATACTGAACATCACAGTTTTTTTACAACACGATGTATAATTTTTTAAAACTATATGTAATTTATGGATTTTTACCCAGGTATTTTGGTGGCTCAGGCATTATAACCTTGCAATTTTAAAATTGTAAACCTGATGATGGACTGTTTAGTCCGAAAACGTTTGTTTTTTTATGTAGTCCTTTTAAGGGTTTTTAAATAAATATACCCATTTACGAAGACTAACCTCTTTTTAAAAATAATATAATTGCAACCTTTCCAAAAGTAGAAATAGCCCTAAGATCTTCTTATCATCGATGGTTACTAACGCAACTTGTGAAAGATCATTTTCCACTTTAAAAAGGATCAAAAATTATATTATTTGAGAAATACGACGACGGAAGAAACAATAAATTCGTTCGCTGTTTTAAATATTAATAATAATCTTCTTACAAAATTATATTTTAATAAAATCATCGACCTTTTTGCAAGTGGGAAGTCCAGGAAAATTTGTTTGTAAATAATTATGTTAATTTACTTTATAAGCTGTGAGTTTGTGGCTTTTTTGTATATTTGTGATAAATTACCTAATATTAAAATAGTTTTAATGAATTGTTAACGTAACACGCATCTATAGGTACCTACGGGAGAATGGCGGTATAGTGTGACTGAGCCCCCAGCGGTCTATGAACAAATCCGGTACTGTGGAAGGTGGCATTTTCATTTTTGCAGAAATAGTTATGCGATAACTTCAGTAATAATCATAATTGATTTATCCTCTCCCTCAAAAGATTTTTATTAGAGACCACTACCTGATAATTCCTACATATTTATAAATTGTTTTTTGGTCGAAATAATCACTTATCGCAAACTAACATAAAGATTATATTAAACGAATGAAAATTGCTTTTCAGCCATATTAAGAATTATGGTGTAATTATTTAAAACACTATTGAGTTTCGTCGATTTCTTTCTCGAATGATTATAATATGCAATTAAATTTAATCTTTTTAAAATCACTAAGGTTAATGATATTATAATTAATTTAATTATTTAAGTTTAACAGTAAGATTGATTAATTTTGTCCTAAAACTATTTATTTATTTTTACGCACAACAGGCCGTTAAGGCCTAGAGCAGTAAAACTATATAATATATAATAATATAATGTTATTATCACGTAATACTTACAGAGTAATGAAAAACGAGGTAGGATATTCTGTTTCTGTCTTCTCTTGACACATACTAGAATCTACTTCGTACCGTACTTCTATTTCAGTCCCATTCAATATGTTTTCGACATATTTTTTTAAACCCATTTCTACATCCTTTGGAGTACATACACTCGGAACACATAAAGCCCAGTTTATAGAAGAAAATCTAGGCACTCGATGACCTGGCTAAAAAAATAATTGCTTAATGAATTAAAAATTTATTGCAATATGGAATATGGAAAGGCCTTTATTTTGGATGTAAAGAATTTGAAATTCGTCATTAAAAGTATGATTATGATCCAGAAGGTGAACTGCGTATGTCGAATCTGTTTTTCTATTATTGAAAGCCTTTTATGTTCTGCTATTCGTTTATATTTATATTACGTCTATTATTCGTAAACCAGTATTAACTGGTTTCTACCAGTTTGACCGATGTAAGTTTTTGGGCAGTCGCTACATTTAAATTTGTATACACCATTGTGTAAGTGCTTTTTATTTTGGCTCTTGTTGCTTTTAATATATTTGCCTAAGTTGTTGATTCTTCTAAAAGCTGGTGTTATTTCTTTCTGTTTACCCATTGTTTGTTTTTTTTTGTTGTACCCATTGTTTCCTGCTATTTGTTTAAGCAGTAGCTGGCAACCTAAGACAACTTGGCTTAAGCTGCCACCTTATTTTAGTAAAATGCACAACAATAAAATTAGGTTATGTTATCTGTTAGCTGGTAACCAAAACCTGTCCATAAATCATATGTCCACATTTTAAATCTTATATTGACAAAGCTTGTTATGTCGACATATCAACTTTTGGTAAAAATTAAAATTAAGTATTTTAATATATTATGTTTATTCGTTAACTATTATATCTTAACTCAGCACCTATAAAAAGTAAACGAATAGGCAGGGAAACTCCACAAAGACACATCTAAGATAGTTTATTAATTATATAAAGATACACAAAGATTATTAAAGAGATCATGCGAAAAACTCAAAATCATCTTGTATTTTTAGCGGGTTATCAAACTGATTTTATATACTTACAATTTATTACTCGATTTATAGTACATATAAAAGGACTTACATCTTCCAATTTGCTTCTGAAATGGTGATGAGCATGTATTAGCTGGTAGAGTCCTGCTAAATATGGACTTCGAGGTGTTTGAACTTCCATTGCAGCTAAACAATATTTTCCTTGGATATTTCTTTGTATTGAGTTTGCGTTCAAACACATATCAAAGTCTCCTAGTTGGTTTATGTTACCATTTAGAATTCCGGATGGTAGTTTTGCTGTTGAGTCGTACACTAGAAAAGAATATTCATAAAGCAAGAATATACATGAGATAAACATAAAAAGTGTAAGCTTTTTTTATTGAATACATCTGTTATACTTTTCTTGAACGAGAACAAAGTTGTTTATTGCCTAATTTTTTATTTATTTATGATACTCATTCATCATTTTGGAAGTCTGTAACAGCTCTATGTTTTTGAAGTCCCTAGGTAGGTACTTGGTAACTAAGATATTTAGTGCCTTATAGTTATACAAGATATGCAAGTTGTGTCATACATTGAAGAATACATTGGGACTCGTAAAAGGAGCCTAATCGCTTGATTATACGTGCAGATATAGAAAAATATTAATGCCAGGAGAAAATACATACGAAATTAACATTAACAGTATTAAAATAACATTTTTATTTTAAAAGGTATTCCGCAATACCTGATCTTGCGGTGTTGGAATTTAACGTTCTACTTCGTTTTAAAATCCCCAAAGAAGACCCCTAAGAAAAGTCATGTCTCTAAATTTATCAAAAATCAATGACTTCCAAAAAAACCTGGAAAAACTTATTTGTTTAGATTATGTAGATAGTGACCTTAGAGCACTCCAACGCACCTTGTGACACCTATTAAAAATATGTACCAGTCAAATATAGCAAAATAGTAAGACTATAGAAAATTTCACACTGAGAGTGCAGTATGGGTACGATACGGCAATGCTTTTCTTATGGAGAATAAACGCGCAGGGTTGTCGGTTTTCTCCAGCTATTGATTGCTCATTGTCTCACAGGACCGGCTTGGATAAAATGCATCATTCGGCAGTACGAGTAAAATATTTTATATCATGTATACGTATACAGTAGAATAAAAAGGCATTGATGAGTTATTGACAACGAAAACTATGAATTTTGCATATAAAACGTCAACATGAGATATACAATTGAATCATATTCATAAGAGTAACATTTGAACACCTCTTTACAAAAACAACATACAATAACTGTAGTTTTAATGTTTTACATAAAATAGAAAAAACCTACATAATTTCTAGGAAAGAATTTGGAAACTTGGAAATGATAGTATTTCTAGATATTATATATAATATTCATAATCAATAATTATGTCAATAATTAAAACTGCACATAGAAAACTTAAAACCAAAGAAAAGAAAACATAAAGACTAAATAACTGAGTAAATACTACTATTAATGAATGAAAGAAAATCATTCAAAACAAAAAATCCGGTCAAATATAATGAAACTGATCGATTAATTAAAAAGAGGATAAAAGAAGCTAAGGAGAGAATGTTACATGAGCAGTGACAAGAACTAGAAGAAATTGAGAAAAAATATTACTTTTTTAACATGCATAAAAGAATTAGAGAATTAACAGGAATGAGAAAAATATTTCAAACTAGGCAACTAAGAGATGAAAGTCCAGAGATGGACACACAGAGAAAAAATGCAGAGATGGACACAATATATAGCACAACTTTTTGAAGACAAAGAGAGAACAGAAGCACCAAAAGAATTTAAGGATGATACTGGGCCTGACATTATACGAGAAGAAATTGAATATGCAATAAAACAAGCTAAATGTGGTAAATCTACCGGGCTGGTAAAGATCCTATCGAATTACTTAAAATTGTGAATACTAAATCTATGGATCTTCTTTTGGATCTATTCAATACCATATATAGAACAGATATAATACCTAAAGAATGGCATCAATCAATATTCATACTGCTTCCCAAAAAAGCCAATGCAAACGAGTGCAATGAACATCGTACCATAGCCTTAATGAGTCATGTCTTGAAATTATTTTGAAAAGTAGTTCACAATAGAAAACATAAGAAATTAGATGAAGGCATAAGTAATACTATTATATAATATTATGCATAGGTGACAATCGTATAAATCGCGTGAAAACTTTTAAATACCTTGGCACCACAATCAATGACCAATCGGATCCACAACACGAGATAAAAACCCGAATACAAATGGCAAGGCAAGCTTTTGTGAAATTCAGACCGCTCCTATGTAATCAACACCTAAACTTCTAAATACGCTACAGAATGGTCAAGTGCTACATATGGTCCATCTTGCTTTATGGCATGGAAACGTGGACTTTGAAAAAAACATCTATCAACAAACTTGAAGCATTTGAAATGTGGTCATTGAGAAGAATGATGCGCATACCTTGGGTGGATAGAGTTCGAAACGATGACGTCCTTAATAGAGCCGGCGTGGAAAGAGAACTCTTTGAATTAATTAAAAAACGCAAGATTGGTTACCTTGGGCAAATATTGAGAGGAGCAAAATATGAAATACCACAGTTAATCCTACAAGGGAAGATAGAAGGTAGGAGAGGAGCCGGCCGCAAACAATTGTCCTGGTTAAGGAATATTAAAGAATGGACAGGAATACACAATACAGGTGAGCTGTGTCACGCCGCCAAGAACAGAATTCTAGTAATGAGATAGTCGCCTACGCACTTTGGTGTATGGCATGTTAAGAAGATAAGTAATACACAAATGGGATTCAGGAAAGGACTGGGAGCACGAGATGCACTGTTTGCAGTAAGTGTTCTTTCTCATATATGCTTAAATATTAATCAGGAAGTATATGCCTGTTTTATTGATTTTGAGAAGGCATTTGACAAAGTGCAGCATAATCGGCGTAAAGAAATTTTATTCAATAAAAACATAGACAGTAGAGACATTAGAATCATAAGTAACATCTATTGGAATCAAACAGCAAAAGTGAAAGTTAAAAATGAACTGACCGAGGATATCCAGATTCACTGTGGGGTCCGACAAGGGTGTCTTTTTTAATCCTTGTTCTTCAATTTATACAGTGAAGCCATCTCAAATTTAGCGCTTGCCGAGGTCAGTGAAATAAACGGTGAGCAACTTAATAACATAAGATATCGCTCATTAAATGCAACAACGTCATATCTCAAAAAATCGAATTTTTGAGTTAGGTGGTTTAACAGAAAGTAAATTATATAAAGTTTAATTTGTTAGATCGACATATCTGTAACTTAACAATTAACTGAGAGATGGCGCCAAACGATTGTATTATTTCTGTGACATGGTCTAAATTTTTACCGCAAGAGTGTTTTATTTCAGTTGTGGTTTGTCAGTTGAAGCCGCATGTGCTTACGCTTTTATTTAAAAACGTGTTATTGTGTTTTATGAGGATATTGCACTAAAGGTAAGATCTTTTATTTGACAATATTTTATTTCAATAACGCATTATTTAGAAGTAGTACTTTTTTTCGACAAAAAATGATAAACGTTTAGGTTTTAATAATTAAAAATATGACGCTATTGTTCTGAAAAAAATATTTGTTTGGTGTATTATTTTTTCTTAAGACTTTATTACAAAAAAATTAATATTTTTTTTGCTAGAGTTGTCTGAGTTTTTGTAAACAATATGACTTTATTGTTACAAATTATTATTTAAAAATTTAAAAGGAATAATATTTATTTAAGGTTAGGTCAATCTTAAAACACAACTTTTTTTCCATTTGGGATTGCGACTCATTGATTAAATTAAATTTTGCTATTTTTTAAATTTAAAACCAAAAATAATTGCATATGTTTATTTGTCTAATAATTTTTATTTGTTCTAATTAAAAAAATATACTATTTTAGGCTTTCAACGTAATAATGTCCTTTCGCCTAAAAAAGATTCAACAGCTTTTAAAGCAGCAACAATCTACCAATGAGGATGCATCGACCGAACAGTCTATGTCTGACTACACAGTTTCTGTTTTTGAATGTGAAAATGGTACCCCAAAGAAGATGCTCGACAATGATGAACAACAAAACACACAAGAAAATAAAACGAATGTTTCAGAGATGGACAATGAGTTTATTGTAAAAGATCAAGAATCTTCAAGTACACTAGGTAAGTATTTTTTCATGAGTTCTTTCAGCTTTGAGGGGGCACGGGCACGGCGTTGCGGTTTAGAAATAAATATTGGTGCTACAAGGAAAAATATTTTTATAAAAAAATTAGTTCTGAAAAATTAAAATAAAAAAAATATAGTTTGCATACGTATTTTATGTTATAATATGGAAAAAAAAACAGTATAGGATTTAATGGTGTATTTTATTTGACGCCTAGGCACTTCCATGAAAAATTAAATAATGCAAAAAAAATTCAAAAATGATATGATTTTGGAAGTTATCAGTGTTTGAAGATAATTATTTTTTACAGATGATAAGAATATAGCTGTTCCTGGAGTTTCTGGAGCTTCTAAGTCATCAAGTTCTTCATCATCTTCAAGCAGCTGTTGTAGTAGGTGTTCTAGTAGGTCTTCCAGTAGTAGTAGATCTTCTTCCTCTGAAGATTGTGAAGACATAATTAACGATCAGAACTATGAACCAAAGAGTGATGAAGAATCAGAAGAGTGTGATAAAGAAAACAACGACGACGGTAATAATCAGCCTAATCAAACTTTATCAGCAAACCAAGACATTCCTATTCTTGTTACACCCCCAAAGAAAGGCAAGAAACGTCAACGGAATACTGAAAACTGGAAGAGAAATCTTACAAAAAAAATGAGAAATTGTGGTGAAGCCTACCAAACTCATTCAAAAAACAAAAAAATGAAACCAAAAAAACAAGTAAGGTATCCGTGCAAAGATTGTAAACTCAAGTGTTCATCTAAATTTACCGAAGAGGAGAGAATACAGATTTTTTCAAGCTATTGGTCACTCGGTGAAGTTCAAAAACAGAGAGAATTTATTAACAAACTGATGGTACCTGTTGTACCCCAATATCGATATATTCGTGTTGGAGGTACAAGAAAACCCAGAGACAAAAACAACGCATACTATTTTGTAAAAGAAGGTAAGCAGATTCGAGTTTGCAAAGTATTTTTTGCAAATACTTTGGACATAACTGATCGCATAATAAGAACTGTGCAAGAAAAACGGAATAAAGTTTCAGACGTCCTCCTTGAACCGGACAAACGTGGAAGACACGGAAACCAGAAATCGCTAAATCCAGAAATTC